GCATTTTCTCTTTAAACATTTTACTGACATTTCATTCAAATTTTCAATATCCTCTTGGGATTTAAGATAAAGAGTGCTGGACTCAGAAGTTCTGGATTCAGATCCTATCTGCTTGATGTTTGCCAAGTCACCCCACCTCCCAGCCTCAGTTTCCTCAGCTGCAAAATGACAGGGTTGGACTCAGGTGTGCTAGTAAATATTTAATGACTAACTCTCCAGGGGGAAAAAAAGTGTAGTACCAACACACTCCTTAGTCTGACCCTATATCATAAACATTTTCTCCATAACTTTCTTAGGTCTATACAATCAAAAAAATACAAAAAAAAAATCAAGCCTTGAGTTGTAATGTTTGCTGTTTCCAAGGGATAATGCTCACAATAAAAATTTAACAACTGGCTCTCCCAAGCCAATATGAGTTGGCTCCAGCACAGTGATGATTGGACTCAATGACCTCTAAGTTTTCTTCTGGCTCTCCATCTATGAATCTGAGATCCAATGGTGGGAAACACAGTGACTGTCATCATAGCTCAAGGATTAAGAGCATCACCCTCAGAAGCCATCTGGTCCAACTGCCTCATTTTATAGATGAGGAAACTGAGACCTACAGAGGTTATGCGGCTTGCCCAGGGCTATTAAGGGAATATGTATTAGAGACAGGATTCAGAGCCATATCCTCAGTCTCTAAGCCCAGAGCAATCTCACTGTGTCATACTACATCTTTGCCAAAATCAGTTCTCATGTGTTTTTATAACACAAGGTCTATATTTAAACAAAGTTCTTTTATATTACAGAGGAAAAAAGTTATTTCATGAAATGAACTGTAGATTTAACAATATAGATGACTCAGTGACATTGACATCTGGTAAGTGTACTTACTAAAAAGCACAAGAGGAAAGTATTTATCTTAGCAGAGAGTGATGTACAACAAAACCTGCCACCGTAATTTAGTTCCATTCAGTTTAAACCATTTATCAGAATGTGCCAGGCACTGTTAGAGAGTAGGAATAATAAAAGGACAATAACAAAACATTCCCTGCCCTCAAGGAGCTTACATTCCTTCAGGAGGATAGCAATGTAGGATCATGGATTTAGAGGTGGAAGGGGCAGCATAATTCAATCCCCTCTTCTGATAGAGGAGGAAACTGAGGACCAGAAAGTGAAAAGGACTGACCAAAGTCACTTAGAAGTATAGGTAGGATTTGACTCCCATGGCTACAAATCCATCCCTTTTTGAACAACATTCTCCCTGCCATCATCAGAAACATTGGCAAATATGACCTCACATCATTTTTAAAGGTATTCCTTTGGGAGAGGGAGATAGAAGCCTCCTTCCCACAGCAGGAAACTGAACCTGTAGGCAAATTCCCTGGGATTGCAAGAGTCCAGTGCTTGGGGATGGATAATAAAAGGGAATTGAGAAGCAAGTGGGACAAAAGGGGAAAAGAAGCAAACCATCTGGTAGATTTTATTTCAACTAATTAAGTTGTTTAACACAACTAACTAAGATTGTTTCCACACTGAAGGAGTGTAAGGGCTAATAATTCCCTCTGAATGTCAGTGCACTGGTACAAAGCCCATCCACCCTATCCTAGTTATGGGTGGCAGGGAATGGAGTGGGGCTGAATTTAGGAGAAACAGATCCTGTTCATCCTTACATAGATGACCCTTTGATTCCTCCTCATTTGCTATATTATGCCAGGAGGAGGCACATTTTGTAGATTTTTCTCTGGGGATTTCCCCTCTCAACAAGTCAAGTCAACAAGCATTAAGAGCTTACAGTGTGCCAGGCATTGTGCCAAGAGGTGAGGATACAAAAAAGGCAAAAACCAGTCCCTGTTCTCCAGAAGCTTACAGTTGAATGAGGAGACAACACAAAAACAACTATGTAAAAGTAAGATATACGCAGGATAAATTGGAGAAAACCAACAGATCAAAGGAACTAGCATTCGTATGTTCCATTAAAGTCAACAAGTATTTATTAAGCACCCAAGTACCAGGGATACAAAGATTAAAAAGAGCTTGTCCTCAAGGAGCTCCCAGTCTAATGGGAGAGACAACATAAAAGCAAGTATGGACAAACGATATAGACAGGATAAATTGGAAATAATCAACAGTGGGAAGGCAGCAGCATGCATATGTTTTGTTAAAAGTAAATGGGCAAGGGGTGGATCCAAGATGGCGGAGGGAAAGCAGTGACTTGTTTGAGTTCTCCCCCAAACCCCTCCAAAGACCTACAAAAAATGGCTCTAAACAAATTCTAAAGCAGCAGAACCCACAAAAAGACAGAGTGAAACAAATTTCCAGCCAAAGACAGCCTGAATCGTTGATCGGAAAGGTATATCGAGAGGGGCTGGGAAAGGACTCAAGTGGAACATGAAGAGGTAAACAGGAAAGAGAAAATCATAAGAGACTTATTAAGGTTGAACTGTTTACATTCCTGCATGGAAAGATGATATTTGTAACTCATGAGACCTTTGTCAGTATTAGGGTACTTGGAGTGGAAAAAATTATATGTATGTATATATAGATATAGATAGATAGATAGAGGGCACAGAGTGAGTTGAAAATGAAGGGGTCATAGCTGGAGAATAAACTTAAGGGGTGAGAGAGGATTATAGTAGGAGAAGGAGAAAGGGAGAGGTAGGATGGGGTAAATTATCTCAAAAAAAAAAACAGAAGAGAAAAGGCTCTTACAGTGGAGGGGAAACGAGGGAAGGTGAGAGGGAATGAGTGAATCTTATTCTCATAGAATTTGACTTAAGGAGGGAATAACATACACACTCAATTGGGTATGGAAATCTGTCTTACCCTACAGGAAAATTGGGGGGGGGGGACAAGGGAGTAGGGGGATGATAGAGAGGAGGGCAGATTGGAAAAGGGGGTAATCAGAAGCAAGTACTTCTGAGGAGGATCAGGGTGAAAAGAAAGAAGAGAATAAATGGGGGGGTGGGATAGGATTAAGGGAAATAGAGTTAGTTTTTCACAGCATGTCTACTATGGAAGTGTTTTGCATGACTGCACATATATAACCTATATTTAGTTGCTTGACTTATCAATGAGGGTGGGTGGGGAGGGAGGAAGGGAGAAAATTTGGAACCCAAAGTTTTAAAATCACATGTTTAAAAAAAATGTTTTCACAGGCAACTGGGAAATAAGAAATACAGAAAATGGGGTACAGAAATCCATCCTGCCCTACAGGAAAATTGAAAGGGAAAGGGATAAGAGAAAGGGGGGAGAGATAGAAGGGAAGGCAGACTAGGGGAAGGGTTATTTAGAATGCATGCCATCTTGGGGTGGGGGGAGGGGCAAGATGGGGTGAAAATTTGGAACTCAAAATCTTGTGGAAGTAAATGTTGAAAACAAAAAAAAATAAATAAAAATTACCATAAAAAATAAAAAATAACAATAATAAAATTAAAAAATAAAATAAAATAAAATAGGAGAGTTGGATTAGGTGACCTCCAAGGTTCCTTACAGCTACAAATCAGTGATCCAGTTGACTGACTGACTGACCTATGACCCCATGGATTCAGATAACCTACCTAGATGATCTTTTTTGGTTCTGAAATTGTATGGTTAAATACTACATCCATTTTTTAAGCTCAGATAACAATAGATAAAGGAAACATAAAGGGAAAACTGTAAGCATCTTAAAAGGAAGATGAACTTTTGGCCTTGAGACCCAGATGTTAAATAATATTATGACTTTAGGTAATACAAATGTAAGTAAACATATCTCTTCTCTGATTGTCCCTGAATAAAAAAAAAGTAAATGGGCAGAGCACTGACCCTGGAGTCAGGAAGACTTGAGTTCAAATCTGGCCTCAAATACTTGACACTCACTAGCTGTGTGACCCTGGGCAAGTCACTTAACCCCATTGCCTAGCAAAATAAATAAATAAATAAATAAAATTTTAAAAAGTAAATGAGCAGACACTTCCTAGCTGTGTGACCCTGGGCAAGTCCCTTAACCCCATTGCCTAACCCCCCAAAAAAGTAAATGAGCATTTATTAAGTACCTACTATGTGTTGGGTCATGTGCCAAACCCTGGCCATACAAAGAAGGGCAAAAGACAGTCTGCTTGCAGTCGAATGGGGGAGTCAGCGTGCAGCCAACTATGTACAAACAAGATATAGACATGCTAGATTGGAGCTAATCCTCTTCCCCCAAAGTGGCTGAAAGGACACTCGAGGAGGACCGGATGGATCTACCATAATTCAACTTCCAAACTGTGAGTCCTTCCTTTTACAGATGAGGAAACTGAGTTTCAGAGAGGTTACCTGTAAAGGGGCCCAGTTGACATTGGGGCTCATTTTCTCTTCGTTTTCTTTCCAATGAACGCTCTTGTCTCTGGGTTTCTCCAGAGGCTAAATCACCCCTGACCGCTGGCTTTCACAGAGGCAGACGGGCACCCTGGATTTCAGCCCCATGGTCAGCTCTTGATGGGGTGCTGTCCAGCGAGCTAGCAATAGGACCTAAGACTGAAGAGTCAATCCAACCCAACCACTATCCTGCCACATGGCAAGGCCAGTGGAGACCGAGGGATTGAAGTGATTTGGGAAAGGGGCAGGTAGGGAGGAGGAATGGTCCTTATAACTTTACTCGACCTTGTGGAGCGCAGGGGAAGAGTCAGTGACCGTGGTAGGAGGAGAACGTGGGCAAGAATAACGTAAGACTTGGCTGCTCCCCCCCCCTCCCCATCCTCCTCCCCCCCTCCTCCCCTCCCTGCTCCCTCCCTCCTCCTCCCCATCCTCCTCCCCCTCCTCCTCCCCCTCCTCCTC